TTATGAGGAGGTTTAAATTTCTGACTTCAATTTCATTCAGAATCCAGCAGAATCCACTGGAATTCCATTCAGATTCTGGTGGAATCCATTGGAATTCCATTCAGAATCCGGCGGAATCCACTGGAATTTGAGATTCCTACCATTCCAGTGGACTCCAGATGGAATTCCAACATTCGATGGGAGTCTGCTGGAGTCCGCCGGAACTCATGGGGGAGGGTAAAGTACTGTCACGATGATGCTGGTCTTGTATGTCTTCAGAATGAGATACAACATCGTCAGGATCTCTTGCACAGTGCTTGGAACCGTTTGAATTATCTGAGAAGCAAGGCCGACGAGGGTGGGGAAAATATCAGTCACGATTTGTGTTAACGCTTTACTCTTTTGTCTGAACCTGCGAGAGTGTAAGCAGCGCTAGCCTCGATGAACATGGAACACGAAAAGCAAACCTAAATGCCCGAATCGCCTCAAGAGCAGCATTGCATCCTGCATGAACCTGGTTGATATTGGCGCTACGCATGAGCAAAGCCTTGATATCTCCAAGCAGGCTAGGCCAATTATGCGAGAAATTATGTGCGACATGTACAATAGATCTAGACTTGAGGGCAGTGGCCAACTGGAGTCTGATGCTCCTGGAAGGCGAAGTATCGAGGAGGAGAAGGATATTCATCTTGGGCGCGTCGCAATTGGACTGTGGGATGAGAACTTGATCTGGGCATCTGCTTGTTTTGATTGAGTAAGTGTTGTGAACAGGATTTTTGAGCCAGACGGCACAGGCTCAAAGTGTCGCGCTGTGTGAATCGTGTTGGGAATGGTTGAGAGATAAGACAATGCATAGAAACACGTACATGTTGATGTTGTTGGCCAGCAATCATGCCACTGTACATGTGCGATGATCCGACTCTCAAAAGCACAACTAGTACTGACCTTGCGGATCTGAAGCTCAGCAGCCTTGCATTGGGGTCGGGGTTAAAGGTGGTCAATTTGAGGGTCCTTGTGGAACTATTGACCTTATTTAGCAAGTGTCAGGTCCAAGAATACTGCCATATTTAGCAGTTCTTCACCTCATGGCCACTTACTTACATATCTTCCACATATCTGCTGTGCAAATATGGACTTGCCTTTAGTAGAAATTTCTTCTCTAATATCTTTGATGTTTATCCACCCCAGAAAATTCTTAATAATACTGACGGAAAAAAATTGCTAAAATCAAATAAAAGATTTTAAATATCTTTCAACTAATCCTGGTAGTTAAACAGGAGCATTATCATTAATATCTACCCCATTTTTCCACAATATACCCAGTGGAGATATAAGCCAAGGCCCGCAGTGTCAATCAGAGGTGCGGAGATGATGGATGCACAAGTCATGTTCCAGATGACCTTTTGTTATTCGGGCCTTCAAGGTAACAAACAATCATCAATAAAGGTAGTTTCAGAGAGAAAAATCATGAAAGTGCACATTAGAGGATGTCATTCAAATTGTTGATGGAATTGACTTCATATCTCTTTTATTGCAACTAGTTTGTGTCATATAATATGTATTTTGTACTTCAATTCAGCAGCTTTTCGGATGGATGGCTCAGGTCCCAGCTGGATGACGTTGTCGAAGGTGTTGCCACACAAGTACAAATAGTTTCCCTCCAAATGCCCAGATTCAAAAAGCATGACTATTCATCCCTTACACATGTATTGAATGAAACATAAACATTTTAGCATTCTGATAGTAAAACATAGTGCAATTATTTATTTTTCGCATCCATGGCGCCCTTGCAAGTGGATGGATGCGACATAGCGAAGTTGGATGACTGTCTGAAGCTATTGGCAAACAGATGCAAACTTGTCAAACATACTGAGAACAACTGAAATTGAGGAAGGGGACACCATATTGAGAATGGTTATATATCTCAGCATGTTTAATTTACAACTTTGGACTTACCCTATTATCAGAAGTTGACTAAATGTTGAAGAGAAAGGGATATCTCTGTGTTTTAAAGGTCAAAAACATATCATTCCAGCAACTTTTAAAATAATACATGCCAGCTATATCCCACCAGCATCAGAGCATGAGTAAAAGAATATTGGGACAGGCAGTATCAAATTTTGAGTGAAAGAACACATCTGAAAGTCTTGTTCCAACTATCAAAATTTTAGGAGGGTTTCAAAACATAGAATTGTGTTGGGAAATCTTGCTCTGCTTGCCTAATATTCAGGGAATCAAATTCACATGATCTCAGCTAAGGGTGGATGCCAGTATCAATTTTCTGAGGACTATATTCACTTTGATATTGAAGGATTTGTTGTGAAAGTCATGGAATAGAGTGTATTTCATCAGACTTTAACTATACTGTGTCCCCTAAAATCATCCAATGGCCATGAAACTTACATAGATATCTTCAGAATGAAAACCTCAATGAACTCACAAATTTTTATAGAAATGAGAGGATTATGGCAATACAGGTAATGGGATAGGTGTAGCTGGGTCACAATAAAGCAACTGAAAGTGCTGGGATCTCAGGTGTAGATTGGAAATCTTCTGACTTTTACTCCCTGCCAAGTAAATACATAATGCTACCTATCTCAAATGTTAGTACTATTGCTTAGAACCTTTAATTACATTTTTACATATTTTCTTTCTCTCAAGAACGAGTGTGAGAGCGAGTGCACGCAGCGCTCCTTCAGCGCTCGGCATTTTCCAAGCGTTGTTGATCGGTGGTTGAGCACACCGCCCTCCATTCCACACTCGACTTCGCCCTTCCATTCAACCACCCACCCTTCCACTCGACCACTCGCTCTTCCATTCGATGGTAAGTCTATCTTACAGGAGCAGTTGTAACTAATCAACCAGGTTATTCATCCTAACATTGTCACCACCAAGTTCCTGACGTGTGCCACGTCGACGGCGACACTAAGACCACACAACAACGGATGACACTGAGGACTCACCACCACTGACGTTGACCACACACAACTACCACTATGACGGCCATGAGTGCCCATCACCCACATAAGCGGTCCATCCAAATGTGCAACAAGACCCCACAATGAGGGACGGCAACAACGATTCACCACCACTGATGGCGACTGCACACCACTACCACCACAACGGCCATGAGTGCCCACCACCTACGCCGACAGTCATTCGAACGTGCCATGTCGATGGCAACACCAAGACCCCACAACGAGGGATGACAACAACAACAACGATACATGCACCACCACCTTCCACCAATGACTGTGATCAGCACCCACTATCATCACCATGCGAATGACAACGGGATACGACCGATGAGCGCCAATGATGATAAGATTTGGTTGACCTACAAGGTGCATTTATTTCTCTCAACTTTTATTTGATCCTCAATTTACATGGCCCACATCTAGCTCTGGTATTGTTTTTGATCCCCTCTGGACAACTCTCTACGAAAACTAGGGACAGAGTACCTACACAACTACCACCAACCCAGGTAAGCTGACATACCTCTCCCTCCCACTCCCATAACCACACACAACAGGTGTCACCACGCTGACAACTCACTGTTCATCGTCGTCATCGGACCAACACAACAGGACGACGATGATCATCACGATCGCGACAACAGACAACAAACCTCGACATCAGACTACCCACGGACCGCGACAAGTGCCCATCACCAGCATCACCAACCCAGGTGAGTTAACTTGTCCCCTTCCTCCCATTCCCATAATCACCCACAACCCATGCCCGACGTGCCAACCAAACAACGAACAATGAATCATCAGCGGACTGACACAACACAATGACAGATGACCTTCACAACGATGAACAACACCACAACAACACGGGACAGTGTCACTGACAATGCAACAACAACATGGGCAGGATGACCACGACCACACTATGATGCCCAGGACAAGTGAAAATGCTAGATGATAACAACGCGACTACGATGCAGGATGACTAAGGTACAGCAAGCAAGGGTGGTGGAGGCAGGATGGCACCAATCACTAGAGGAGGGCAGGCGTGCTGTATTGCCAATGTGTTGCTGCGCATACTTTCTTTGCCTGAGGTCAGTGAGAGCTGATGTACCCATTATTTTTCGAAATGTATATTACCAGATTCTTGATTAGCTCTGTTTCATTGTTTTTGTCTCCCTCCATGTCATGTGGTAAAGTAGCTACCCCAAAGCTACCCTTTTTTCAAGTTGCAATGTTGTTTACAATTGTGTACCAACAGCGTCTAAGGCCCAAAGTCATCCAAAAAGGGTTTGTCCCATCCAGCTTATTTCGGTCAGATTCAACACAGGGAAACTATTTGGAAGTGTCAGAACATTATAATATATACATATGGTAAACTTTCAGATGTTGTTTCTACGACGAACAAAGCTATAGGGCACAAAGGATCTCCTCAGAACAGGCTTTTACAATTGTTTACAATTGTTGTGCAGGAGCATCAATTCCCAAAGGTCATCCGAAGTTGGTTGACCCAATCCATCTATTTCCGACATACGGACGCATGAGGAACCAATTCCACCAAATGTAAATAAAACACAGGATATATTTGGAATGATTTGCAAGGCTTTTTTAAGGGAGAAACATATGCAGAAGCAAAAATATTGTTGTTGAGCCCAAAACAGAGGTTTGTTTGCAGATATTGACATATCAGCTGAAAAACAAATACAGAACATCAATGGATAATTAGGAATACCCCAAAATTATACTGTGGAGGGCTCCCTGGATCAATCCACATCCTGGACAACCTGGATACACCCATCCCCTGTGTAATAGAGAAAACTGCATTATCCCAGGAAATAAGGCATAGGCCTACAGCCAAGGGTGAATGAGCGCCAACTGGAAAGAAGAGATGGCAGTAAGTAAAAGCAGAGATTACAATCTGGCTATGATAAGATCAGTGTGACACGATGTGACTGGAGTGTGCTCATGTAATAGTTCTCACGGGGTCATAGGTATGGTTGAAATGAGGAGGACATTCTGTATTTCGAGAGTCCGAACTGCTGCCGATCTGCCTGTGCATCATTACATGCACATAACATAGGTATTTATATGAGTATGTCACAAACGAAATTGGGCTGAGCACAATGCAACTGCAGGGTAGCTAGCTGCAAAGGTGGCTATAACTAGCTCAAATTCATAATATCTACAGTACACCTGTCTTATGCACAACCAGGACAGTAGTATTTACATGAGCCAGTCCACCTAACACACTGGACGGCAACAAAATAGAAAGACAGGGAGCCCATTCAGGGGGGGAGGCTGTTTGTTGAGAAAGAGGGCCGTTTGTCAAGGGAGGAGGCCGTTCGTTGAGAAATGAGAAATTTTGCCATTTGTCGACGGCAGGGGCCATTTTTGAGGGAGGGAAAGGGCTGTTCATTGAGTTCATCAAAAGGGGGCCGTTCACCATTTGTCGAGGGAGAGAGGGGACCATTCGTTGAAAGATGAGGCCGTTCAGCATTTGTCAAGAGGGGAAGGGGGGCCGTTCATCAAAAGGGGAGGCTGTTTGCCCATTCGCCTTTTGTCGAGGGTGCCGTTCGTCAAGGGAGGCCATCCGCCATTTGTCGAAGGAGGGGGAGGGGGGCATTCTTCGAGGGAGGAGGCCATTCACCACTTGTCGAGGGAGGGAGGGAGAGGGGGGCCATTTATCGATGGGAGGAGGCCGTTTGTCAATGGGAGGAGCCATGAGGGGAGGCCACATTCAGCCTCAATATGTTGGGAGCTTTAGGCTTGGGCTGTATTACCCAATTGGACTCCTTGGACACTGAGGGACACATCAGCACCTGTTATATGTCAACAGGACATTCATTCACCTATGGCCTTCCTGTGCTACAGCGGGCATCGTACTTAGCACCGGAGTTGCGATAGGCTGGCCAAAATAGGCGAAGAGACATCAGCGCCATCATAAGCAATGACTGAGCTGACACCTGAACTAAACATTGTAACCATCTGTGGTTGATACAGTTGCTCAACAGCATCAAGCAGGCAGTGCCCACAGGTGTTGAAGAGGGCCGTGAGCGGGCAGGGTACTGGTGTTTGTAGTTGCTACAGAAGAAAATAAAATAAAATAAAAAGAGGGAAAAAGCGAAAAAAAAAAGAGGAATATTTCTTATCTTATCTTATCTTACAATCATGAGCTATAAACTACTGACCCATCTTTCCATCTCCACCTACAACTGGCCTTTTGGATACCTGCTATCCCCCCCATCACAATCTACTCTGTTTGGAATTTTCCAGTAAATTTTATCTGCCCTACTGCCCTCAAATTCTGGCCTAGAGCATCATTTCCTGCTCTGATTCTCTTTGGAAGTAATTAGGGAGCTGAAATTGCTAGAACATCTTGTGCAGGCCTTTTATTAGCTAATTAAACTGTATTTTGTAATGGGCTAGCAGTGATATTGTGTGGGCTGAATTAATGCTCTCCTGTGATGATTCAAGAAAATGACTATCCACATCCAAATGATAAAGCCCTGGATTACTTTAAAAAATTTGGGTGGAGCAATTGATCCTTTGCTTGATGGGCTGTATGTGAAGCACCTCCATTTTGATGTTCACAGGCCATACTACAGAATATATTTTGTAGAAGATATCATTTTCATTTCCCTTTGCATGATTACAATTCTGTACAATTACAGCTTTTTTTGGAGTCAGGATCTCCCTGATTAATGCTAGATACTCACACATAAGCTTTAAAAACAACTGTTTCTCTGCAACAGTAGGATGGACATAACAGCATATTTTGTACCTTGACATGATCCCAAGTATCAGTTCCATTTTTTTACCCAAGGCTCAGTCATCAATAGTTGTTGCATAGCTGACTTGAATCCAATTTCTTCAGGAATGGGAAGAACCCCAGAAACCTCTTTTGTTCAGGCATACATTGAATGATTTACCCATCCTCTGATTTCAAATGACTGTGGCACTTCATCTCACATTTTTTCAGCTAATATTCAAAGCTGATCAATTATCCAAATGTCAAATTGACGATCACATTCTTTCCCTGTTGAATTTCTTGTCCCAACAGTTATATTGTGATGTAGTTGAAAATTGAACAGTAAAATACATAGAAATTTTGTGATAGCTTGTATTTGCACAATAATCTCAATGTATCTTCTATTTTACATGATATAAAAATGTGGTGGAAGGCCGCAGAGAGGGCAAAAGTATACGAGCAAGCCAGAGATTACACAGCCACTTGCTATCACATAAGCGTGCTATCTATCTTCTTCTATCCTATATATTAAAAGAAGGTTGCACAGCTTTATGTAATATATGACTAAGCGAACTCTTTCTCTTTATACCAGCTGCCTGAGTGGCTTTTTCTGGAAACTCTGGCCATAGGCAATGTTGTGTTGGTCCTATCAGACCCTACAACTACATTCTGTACTGCACAGAATAATTGACATGCATTTTTGTGGGTACACCTCCTTCAGCCCCCTCAATTTCGCTTTTTTCCCACCTTTATCACCCTTCACTTCCCTCTACACCTGTGTTAAAGTCACTATCAGTGTATGTTTCTTCTTTTCTCTTATGGTTAACCACTCCTGCTTCTTTTCTGTCTGATGCTATCCTGCTAGACAGTTCTTTTTTGACTTTTCTCTTCTGATTTACATTTTCCCAGTACTTTGTGTGGGTGGACATTTTGCTCCTTCTTTGGTGATTTGAAGTTAGCAAACATTGGAGGACCAAGGGCCTCTCTGTGTAAATGTCTGCCAGTTGCTATCAGTCTTTTGCTTTCTTTGCACAGCATTGATATGGGATGATTTTTACAGTTCTTCCTTTTTAAGCTAAGCCATATTATGGAGGGTTAGGCCAATAAATATAGCTAAATTTCTATGGCTGGCTACAATCATGATATAGCATGTAGCTCTGTGTAGGTCTTGATCAAAATGTGACTTTGATGATTTGAATGGAAGATATGTACCACAACTGGGAGTGAACATATGTTGGGTGGAGGATCTGGAGGGCTTTCATCTGGCAAGCTGGCAAAGTGTGGTGAGCTTTCTCTTGGGCAAGGCATGGCCAAGTGAAGTGAGTGTTGTGCTATAAATCCACATCCAAGTGTAACATTGCAGAACTGGGATAAAAAAGAGGATATACATACAATGACACAATCCCCAAATAGGAATTCAAGCATCCTACCTTAGCTGCCTCACAGCAATTGAAGCTTCAAACTATGTAACCACCCTAACCTCCTACATAGGGAGACAAAACATCCCTAATTCTAACCATCAACTCTAACCTCCTAACTGAGAACACACTACCAAGCACACACAACCAAGAACACACTACTGAGAACATCAAGCATACTACCAAGAACATGCTATGATTGAATATGTGCACTGAGAACACACTACCAAGAACATGCTC